AGTCGCCACCCGAAGCAGGGCTGGCCGCGGGGGTGGAGGCGGGGTGGGCCTGTGGCAGCGCACGGCTGAACTCTGCAAAGGGATGCTACAGTTCTGCGCAGGGTGACGTTGTCTCTGAACGCGTTTTCGTCGTTTCAGGAGTCTCCGAAGTCTACCAAAAGCACCACAAAGCCTGGCAGCGGCAGCAGCGGGAAGGATGGTGGGGCAGAGAATTCGGAAGAGGTAAGGCTTTCCCCTTGGATACAGCAGTGTGCGCGTGCAGCTCGTCTTTGAGGAGGAATAACGTCTTTCCTTCTAGCTGCTTCAGGCTGCTCCGCCAGATAACGCGTGTCACCGGGATCTTAAGGAATCGGAGAAGACGGTAGCAAAGACTAAAGTTAAGACGAAGTTAGTTCCACTTGAAAGTTGGCCCAAAGGGAGCCGCGGCTATGGAGGAGACAGGATGAGTCTCGCACCCTACAGCCCTGCAAAAAGAGATTTGTCACGCAGCTGGCGGCGGGCGCTGCTCGCAGCGGTGGGCAGAGGGTGGTAAAGTTGGCTGCAGAGGGGGAAGAGCCACCGTTATCAAGAAGAAGGAAGCCTGACAGACGGGAGTAGCTTCCTTGCTCCTGTCAGAGCAAAGCGCAGTAAACTCTGTTGTCACCTTGTGTCAGAGTGGGAGAGCAGTGAGAAGCAAGAGAAAAGGAACGTGTTCTTCTGAGGCGTTTTCTGGGGGAGTGAGATTGGGAAATTATGGATAGGACACCTGAAAGAATAGAGGTAAACTGCTAGAGATTAAATGGTTCTCCTTTGGTAGAACAGCCTTGTTGCTGAGCACAACATTACTCACAAGAAGGCACAGTCTGTTTTCCCAGCTGTGCAGAGTCTCTCTCCCTCTCAATTTTGATGTTGTCAAGCTAGATGTGTTAGAATGGCCTCAGCAGAACGTGATAATATGATAAGCTGTGCTTAGAATTAGCAAAAATTTGGGTAAACTGGAACTTTTCTGGTAGACTTGAGTTTGCCCGGCACTCAGACAGTGTGGTTGTGGATTTTGAGACTTGGCTCAGAAGAGCGTTGTACGCATGTCCGAGGAAGCATGCATATGTGTGTGGTTTATTTTTTTTTTTAATACCGCAGTTTGGCAAACAGGCTGTGCCACTTCTATGTCCGTAGAAGCCCTGTGTGCTTGAGTCTTGTCTGGAACACGTTGCACTTGTAATGTGAAGGACGGGGGACAGGAGACATGTAAGGCTAATGAAGGCTGGGAAGAAATCTGTAGTTCAGTGGGATGGTCATAGTCAAAATAAGGTTGTTTTAGAGTCTCCTTCCAAGCATAGATCTGTGTTGCAGAGCCTCAGAAAATATCCCTACTACTAGCCACTCGGTTTCAGGATCCAAGCCATGCTCATGCCTAACCTGCAGTGTGGCTAGCAAGAAGCTGAGTTTGTTTGCCTTGGAGCAGGTAGCAATTTTGTAGATCCTCTTTTTATATCCCATGCTGGCCTTGGCCTCTGCCCATTTTATTTTGCGTGCGCAGCTGAAAACAGCTTGCTGGGAGAGCTGTCTGCCGACTCCGAGGAAGTGAGAGAACCCCTGCCTTGGCATCATGGGGTCAGGTTTACCTTTTATTTATTTGGCACTCTTTGTCTGCTGAGTTACAAGTGGTGCAGTAAGAAAGGAAGAATAGTGCAGGCTACAAGCTTCCTTCTGTGACCTGAAATGGCACATAATGCCTGGTTGTACCTGGGTGCAGAAGAAACTTAGAAGTGATGCGTCTAACCTTCCCTCCCACAAAACATACCCAGCCACTTCCTCATACTCCAGACAAAATCCAGCCCTTCTTTAAGATGGAAGGCTGCGTCTCCTT